ATGTCACTTGGGTTCCAAGAGGAAAGGAAAATCCAAAGGAGGAAAGAAGGGTAAAATTTTCTGTTTTGGATGAGTTTGGGGAATGGTGATTTTCAGAGCCCAGTGGTTTTGGTGAAGATGAAGAGACGTTTGTGGGAGAGAGCAGATGCTTGAGAGGGAGCTTTTGGGGGGTGAGCTTGAGGGAAGCTTCGCTGACGCCTGGAGAGATGTGGTTTGGGGAGAGGGAACTGGGGACAGGGGACTTGAGACAGGGAACTGGAGGCAGGGAACTGGGGCAGCAAACTGGGGACAGGGAACTGGGGGCAGGGAACTGGGGACAGGGAACTGTGGGCAGGAAAGGGAACTGGAGGCAGGGAACTGGAGTCAGCAAACTGGGGACAGGGGACTTGGAACAGGGAAGGGGACGGGGAACTGGGGGCAGAAACTGGGGGGCAGCAAACTGGGGACAGAGATTGGGGGCAGCAAACTGGGGACAGGGAACTTGGGACAGGGAACTGGGGACAAGGATCTGGAAACAGGGAATTGGAGATGGGGAACAGACTACCGTCGTGTTTGGCCAGTTTGAAATCTCCAAAAGCCGAACAATTCCCGACACAATCTTTCCAGAGGTTAGCGCTTGCAACAAAATCATTTTTTTACAGTCTCCTGCCGAAGACAACGAGGGGAGGCTTGAAGGGGGGCTTAAGGGGGGGCTTAAAGGGGGCTTAAGAAGGGGATTAAGGGGTGGCTTCGCTGAAGGTCGAAGGTCTTGGGGCTAAAGGGCGGCTTGGCCGAAGGCTTAAAGTCTTTGGTCGAAGCGGTGCTTAAGGGGTGGCTTAAGGGGGGCCTTCACGGGGGGTTTCAGGAGGGCTTAAAGGCGGTTTTGCGGCCTAAGGGAGACTTTTGGGGGGGCTTCGCTGAAGGTCGTTGAAGAGAGCGATAAGGAGGGGCTTCAGGGTTGAGCGCGCGGTAGACCCGGTAGTTTTCAGGGGGGCCTCAACAGGGCGCTTGAGGGGTGGTTTAAGGGGAGAAATTGAGGGGGAGGAAAAGGAAGTGCTTAAGGGGTGGTTAAGGGGGACTTACGGGGGGCATCCAATTTTTGGGATTGAGATGGCGCTCCCGGGATGGTTCAAGGAAGGGAAAGGGATAGGTTTTAGGGGGTATTGAGCGCGGGATAAGGGGGGCTTCAAAGCTTGGGGCAGTGTTTGAATCCATGAAGAGGCATGCGATGCCGCTTGTCGCTACTTATTTTGCTCGGGGTGATTGAGACGATTGCATTACGTAGTTGCTGGTTTTTGAACGTAGCTGTGAAATCTCAGAGCAGATTTTCGGGGGGCTTTGTGAGAAGAAGCGATTGTGATGCAGACGGATAGAAGAGATGTAAAACAAAAAACATTTTTTCATTTGTTTTCTCTTCGGTCCTAGGGGGCGTATGGAGGGGGGGCTTAAGAAGGGGGGTACAAAGGAGGGCTGAAGGTTTTCGGTCCTGGAGTGGTTCGAATATCTGTTGGTTTCGGCGTGAGGCTGTTGGCTCACCCCAAAAAAATTGAGCACCCGTTAGGTTCAGAAATCTTTCAGCCTAAAGTCTACTCGTGGGAACCTTCGTGGTATTCGGGAGGAGTCTTTAAAAGAAAGCATTTCGTGGCAGGCGCAGGGAATGGTGCGAGAAGTGCAGATTTCGTGGCGCGGGGGGGAGTTGGGGGGGGGCTGCGGACAAGGGAATTACAAAAGGAACGGGACAGTAAAATTGTTCTTCTTCCTAGTTTCTTTTGGTTTTGCATGTCCTCACATGTTTCCTTAGGTTTTTTTCTACTTAGTGTCGCCCTTTCCTTTTCCTTCTCCTGGTCCGTTCTCCTTTGTCTCTTCCTTGCTTCTGATTTTCCTACTGTTTCCTAGGTCAATGTTTTTCCTGTTGTGCGCACTGCTGCGTTTGGCAGATTAGAGCAACTGCCAATGAGTGTTTCATGTGTGATGTTTGCCCTTTTCTTCTGTTTACGCTTCTCCTTTCCGCCTTTCCTTTCCCTTCTCATGGTCCCGTCTCCTTTGTGTTTTCCTTCCTTCTGATTTTCCTATTGTTTTCCATTTTCCGATCCTTTTTTTCCTTGCCTATTGCGCGCACTACTGCATTTGGCAGAAGGGACGTCTGCCTAATCTGCAATTGCCAATAAGTGTTTCACGTGTTGATGTCTTTATGTTTGCCCTTTTCCTCTGCTTACGCGTCTCCTTTCTGCCTTTCCTTTCTCTTGTCCTGGTCCCTTCTCATCACGAAAGGTAGCCTGGTAAGGACTACCTTGAGTTTGCTTTGCGAAGCAAAGGGACTAGCTTGAGAGCTTGCTCTGGTAGATCAATGTTTAACACCCCCACCCCCCCTCCCCCCCTCCCATGTGATGATTCATTGATAAATCAATTGATTCTCCCCTCCACTCCCCTCCCCGTCCCCTCCCCTCGTCGCCAGCACTACTAGCATTCTGGACATAAGGTGAAGTCATGCGTTTAGCAGTCACAGCAGTACGACGCTGGCCATGAGGTTGCGCAGCACGAACCCTGCGCAATGAGGTCGCGCAATGCGGCTTCGATGCCACGCGTGCGCACCCGGCAGCCTGACACAGTGCGTACTGCGTTCACAGACCATATTGCTCGACACCAACGAGCATCGATGCAACGCAGCCTCTTTGCAAAGCCCTGTGGAGAAACCCCTCGCATCGAGGAACACCATTCGACTCAGCCTTATACCCTAGCGTGGCGAAATCCTTCCGCATCGTGGAGCACACCCACCATAGCGTGACGTCCATCCCTGGCAGTACCGGCCGCACCCCTCCAGCACTATCCTTACAAGGGGGTTGGTCACTGCGGCTTCGACGCAACGCGTGCAGGCCTGTAATCCTGACACAGTGCGTGCAGCTGTGGGACCATAGCTGCATGGTACACATGCGCGCCTGTTTTCACACACACCTTTACACAAACGAGCGTCGACGCAACGCAGCCTCTCTGCAGAGCCGTGTGGCGCAATCTGACCGCAACGGTGTTCCTCTTGAGCCTTCTTGTGCTCTCTGGCTTTGTTGGTTTCATCCATGATTGACCAAGGGGCACGTTCCTGAAACACCGGAGACAGTCCCTCACCAGAAAAGGTCCCGACAGCTCCCCGGTCCGTCTCTACCTTTCGCGTTTCCCCCAAGTCACGAAAGCTAGCTGTAGCTAGCTGGAGTCTGTTTTGCTTTAGCAAGGAGGGTGGGAGCCGAGGACCTGAGTGCAGATACCTGATTTATCAGGCTTTAACCCCCCCCCCCGCGGGTTCAACTCCACCCTTCTCCTCAGTACCTGCTGCTGCTTGGTCTCTTGCTGCTTGCATGCTTGGTGCTGCTGATTTCCTTTGGCTGCTTGCTGGTTTGCTGCTGACGTGTTGGGGCACGAGCGAAGAGTTCGGTGGGGGAAGCGGGTGATGAAGAGTTTGGTGATGTTTGGTGGAAGTATGGCAGTAGTTGAGTTTTCCCTTTGTGCATCTTATATTAACTATACTACTGTCACGCTGCCCCAACTCGTGTCATGGTACGGTTGATGCCATTCATGCGGTTCAGGGTTGCTGCACTTGTTGCAACGCAACACTGCTGCTGCTGCTGCCTTTGCTGCTGCTGCTTTGCTGCTGCTTTGCTGCTGCTGCTGCTGCTGCTTTGCTGCTGCTGCTTTGCTGCTGCTGCTTTGCTGCTGCTGCTTTGCTGCTGCTGCTTGGCTGCTGCTGCTTGGCTGTTGCTGCTTGGCTGCCTGCTGCTGCTGCTGCTGCTTGGCTGCTTTGGCGGCTGCTTTGGCTGCTGCTTGGCTGCAGCTTGGCTGCTGCTGCTTGGCTGCTGCTGCTGCTGCTGCTTGGTAGCTGCTGCTGATGCTGCTGCTGCTTGGTGGCTCCTGCTGATGCTGCTGCTGCTTGGTAGCTGCTGCTGCTTGGTAGCTGCTGCTGCTACTGCGGCTGCTGCTTGGTAGCTGATGCTGCTGTTGCTTGGTAGCTGCTGCTGCTGCTGCTGCTGCTGCTTGGTAGCTGCTGCTGCTGTTGCTTGGTAGCTGTTGCTGCTGCTGCTTGGTAGCTGCTGCTGCTGCTGCTGCTTGGTAGCAGCTGCTGCTGCTGCTGCTGCTGCTGCTTGGTAGCTGTGCTGCTGCTTGGTAGCTGCTCCTGCTGCTGCTGCTGCTGCTTGGTAGATGGTGCTGCTGCTTGCTAGCTACTCCTGCTGCTGCTTCTGCTGCTGCTTGGTAGCTTCTGCTTGCTGCCGCTGCCGCTGCTGGTTACAGTTATTGTTGTTGTGGCTGTTGCTGCTGCTGCTGCTGCGGCGGTTGCTGGGGTGGTTGTGTGTTGCCATGTGTTGGCTGTGTTGGGGTCGTATTGGGGGGGGGGCTGTTGGCACTCTCCTTTTCCCTTGGCCATGGCGTGTTGCGATTCCCGGCCTGGCTTTTGCTGCCTAAAGAGCCCCAGCGTTGTTTATTTGCCTAGCTTTCGCCACCCCCCTCTGGGCCACAAGTTTGTATTTTCCCTCCGTGCAACTTTCCTATCTTTGCATTTTTCTATTTTCCTAGTCCTTTCTCTTTTTCCTTTCCTATTGGTTTCTTTTCTTTTTCTTTTCTCTTTCCTTTCTCCTTTTCTTATTTTTCCTTCTCCAGGTCTTTTCTCCCTTCCCTTGTCCTTTTGCATCTTGTTTATTAAAAAAAATATCTCTTGTGAGGTTTCCTTTTCCCAATTCATTGTGCATTGTTTTTCCTATTTTGTCCTTTTCATGTCCCCTCTTATGTCTTCTCCACCTCCGTTCTTAGATACCACCTGTAGGAAGCAGTAGGTCAGCACTCCACGATGGAGAAATCATATGTCTGTTCTGACCGTTGATTTATTCCTCCTGCTTAATGATCTGCCTGGACAATTTCCTGCCTACTGCGCGTCTTTGACTATACACAGACAGCCCCAGCTTCAAATGTGCGCTTCCCAGCCAAACAAGAATGGAAACTAGCGACCCCAGACCACACACCCCGAGCCAGACAGTCGAATTCTTGCATTCCATTCACCTCACTTGTCAACAATACGCCATCAAACTTGTTTGCAGTGTGCTTCACAACTTTGAGCCAGGAAAAATGGGCAACATGTTTGTGCAGTTTGTTTTGCAATGCATTCACTCTAACGGATCACGTCCAAAAAGTACACAGAGGTCAAACAACGTCCCACATGTTTGCCTTTCAGGGTGTTGAAATGTTTGTTTTTTTGGTGGGAATTGTCCTTAAGCACCAAATTCACCTGTTGCTTCCTGGCATCCAAGTGCATCGCAGGCTTGAACACCGCCTTGCATAGCATTGCACGCCGAGATGTGCTGCTGTAGAAGGCAGCCAGGGATGCCATGATGGCTTTGCGACTAACGTAGAAAGGGCGATTATCGCAGGTCGCAGCCGATGATGGCGGATGAGTTTTTTTTTTTTGACTCGCCCGGACGACAAGAACGCTCATGTTGAATGGTGCTTTGCCTGAAGCCCTGATGATTGTCCAGGAGTAGATCGGTGTACTTTATTCATCCCCTTGCTAAGTTGTTGTTGTTGGATCAGGGTCCGCAGGGTAGAAGTGACCCTGTTACTAGTTAAACCTCACCATTGATGGGCCCAGTTCAGAGCAAGGCGTGCCCGTTCCACTTCTTCGAAGAGATCGGGCATTGTCATGAAAACTTATTATTTCTAAGCATTGTCAAAGGAAATGCTTTAAGCACAGCTGCAGCGATTCGGTTGCAAGAAAATAGTTATATTTTTTACATTTTGGTAACAGCAGGGGTCTTACTTGTGACATTCTGAAGATTGCAAAAGAGTCCGGTCCTATTGAAATGTCGGCCTTGATTCCTGTTTGACAAGGCGTTGAGCTTGGGAATTGTATGGCCTTGAACAAAAGTGCTCACCTCAAGCAGCCAAAGAGCTGCTTTTCAAAAGCGAAAGCGCGGTGTCCATGACGGCCACCAATGTTTTTTGGTGGTTGGTGGCGTGGGCCTCCCTTGCCTTGATCTTGTACTTGCAGCCCCGGATCTCACGCCATTGGGAGAAGTCGGAGGGTGACGGTTCGTCTGCGCGTGATGAAGGTCACGGAAGCCTCCGAACGGTCATGGTGGTGAACGAGCACGGCGGAGCAGGCGACAGTTTCGAGAAAAGGGAAAGAAGCAAATTTGAAGTGGAATCTCATGTGGTGTGGTGCGGAATATGGTCCAGCTTCTCGGTTCTGTGGTTGCTACCCTTCAGCCTGGTGGTGTGGAGCTTTTGCATTTGGCTCCCCACGACTTGGGCCAACTTCTTTGCCGTCACTCTGCAGCTCGCCTGCTGGGCCATCGCCTTCACTGTGACGGCCTCAGTTCTTTAACAAGGCAGCCAGTGCTTGGCTTGCCATGACTGGCTGCCATGCAAACTCTTGTGAATGGGTTCCAACATGGGTGGAACACCACCATATAGATGGAGGATTTTTGTGACATGTGGTCCAGTGAAGCATGGAAGTCGAAACCTCTCACGTCACCTTCTTCACCAACATGTATTCTCGCTGATTGTGTATCGTGCTGATTCAGCTACCTGTCGGATAGGCGTTCTCTTTTCCGTTGCGATTCTGAACCATCCCTTCACAGTAACATCAACACCCTGTTTGCACGCAATCGCTTGGAGGGATATTTGGCCTGGTGATTATTGGTTTTGTCAGGTCATTATTTTGGGTGTTTGTTTTTGGAATGATCTCATCTTTCTTCTTGGCTGTGCACCTTTACACATCAAAGGAATTTAATCCAAACTGTTGCGAACAGTACCTATATAGCTTTTGAAAAGGAATGAATCTCTTGAGGAGAACTGGAGACACGCAAACATTGAAGCAGAGATTCACTTGGAGACTTCAAGGGAAGAAGAAAGACACTGAATGCGGCAATCACTTCTGAGTAAGAAAAGTGTGCGCAAGCGGTTTGCATTGAAGGATAAGAAACCTATCAGTTGCAAATGACGAGAACAGGTGGAGTTGGGCGCTCGGTGCATCAAACATTCAGGTTGGGTTGGAGTTCGAGAGTCTGCAGCGAGGTTGCGTCAAGGCTGGTTTCACGATTTTGAGGTTTGCCGTGAACTCGAATGGGACTGTCACCCATTCCAAGGTTTAATACATGCAACACTTATGCTGTACGTTTGTTTCCCAGTCGTCCTCCCATCGTGATCGCGCAGTATTTCTTGTACTCGGATCCCTTCTTCAGTGCCTGCTAGTCTTCGTTTTTCTCTGCAGTCCAATTTCGATCTGAGTCGCCGGCGGGGCCGGTCTTCGTCGTACTGGCCGTCGTTGGCTCCACCGGTACCTGGCCACGTCGAACGGCGCATGTCTCCGCGTTTCTGCACCGGTCAAGACACTGGTGTCAGACATGGTCACATGGTCGCTGGTCAACCCGGTGTCTACCCAGCGTGGCGCGACCTGCGTGGGTGGGGTGTCTTTGGAAAATTTGGACCTTCCATCGGACCTTCCGGGGAAAACCACATTCCCCACCTTCACCTCGTCACGTCAGGTGATGATTGGCAACTTCCTGCAGTCGCTCTACGTGTCGGGCGATCGCCCCCGCAAGAGTGAGATGGTCCGAGCGATCCTTCTACTGGTTCTCGCCTTGATCGCGATCTTGACGGTGACCGCCACGGCCTGGAGTGTGAAGAGACATCTACACCAGGGAGTCTGTGAGGGCGGGGTACCACCTGCCTTCTTAAAGCCACTTGAATCCTTTACAGACTGCAATGATGACAGCTCCAAGCCAGAAGCTTGCAAACAGATCCAAAAGGAGGATGTCGTCACGGACATTGAGGGTGGCATTGAGTGCTTCGAATGGTGCCGTGGCCGTGATCTCTTTGTGCCCTACTTCGCCGACACCCACGACATTGTATGCTTCAAAGCAGAAGCTTGGGCGGCGTGTGCCATGTTTGATGTCTTTGGAACATCCTTTCCTGTTCTGGCAATTCTGTCAGCTGTGCTCTATGGACTGCCTCAGTTTTATGCTTGGGTGCAAAGAAAGCTGGCTGAAAGGAAAACACACCACCTGGTGAGAGGTCAGACAGATGAGGAAAGCTCCGAGAGTTATGAGCCTCCCTCCGAGACCAGTTTCCGTGAAGAAGGGCCTTACCGCAGTCAGAGTTGGCTGTATCGCATCCTTGGTGTAAGGAGCGATAAAGATGCAGAGACCTTGAATTTGAGGCTTGCTCATCTCTTGAACACCGTAGAACCACTGGCTGATGTGTACAGTGGCATAGGTCTTCTGGAACAAGGCCAGCCATACTATGGTTTCTTCATGCTTGCTGCAACTTTGGTGCCGAATTGGTTGAATGGAAGAGATCTCTTCCAAGTGAAAATGTCTGAAGCGATCGAGGACTCCATTCGCAAAGGCTTTCCAACTCATGACTTGCTCAAGCACCAGGACCGAGAAGGTCGCTATGAAGGGACCATGTCTGCCATCGTCGCGGTGTGTGCGTTCATGCGCACCCCTTCGTTGCAGATCTATACGGTCATTTCACTGGTCTTCGGCTTCACCAGCTCTGCGCTTCTGAGCATTCCTGCCGCATGCCAGGCCAGTGTGCTCTTAGATTCGGGTATCCACCAGGATGACTACTACAACGCCGTTCAACTTCGGAAGCAAATGACCATGGGTGAGATGTACTATTTATCTGCTTGGACCATTGGACTTGGCAACACACTGGGCTGGTTCCTGTGCTCATGGCAGCACCTTTGGACGAAGATACACAACGACACCTTTGGAGCGAGCTCGCTGTGTGAAGTCTTCGCCGTGGCCTTTGGCTTTGGAGTCCTGGTGTCGGCGGCCCTGGGCCTGATGGGCCGTGGTACCTTCCTGGAAAAGGCCGGACATTTGATTGGGACTTTGTTGTCTCTATTGTTTTGGCTCAGTGTGTGCTTGGAGGACCTAGATGTCCTTCTCAACAATCGATGGTTCGAGGATGGATTAACATGGCAGACCCGAAAGCAGATTGGCTGTGTGGTGGGTTTGATTATGAGTGTCTGCCAGATCTGGCTCTTTTGGAGTTTCATGCCAGAGATTCGTGAGCACAAATTCCAACCTGGACGCTACAGATTGAAGCAGCGCATGGGCGAATGCATCCTGGCGCACCAAGAGGTGAGGGTGGCAGACGTCCAGGAAAAAGATGGCCAATATTGGGGCATATTGGCCGAAGGCAAGTGGATTGAGTTGTATTCAACAGCAAAACCAGACTCCCAACATGACTATAGCTATCGGGCCAAAGAGTTGCAGTACGTTTCTCGCTTCAAGAAGAAGCGTGGCAAACTTGATGCACGAGTGGATTGTGAGCGAAAAGCGAATGAAGTAGTGGAGATTTGCCAGATCAGGAAGAGTGGTGACTCCATCAATGGACGCCTGGCTGGTTCCGAGGTCTACATCCAGTTGGCCGACAACACTCCCGTCTTAAAGTTCTTAGGATTTGTACAAGGCCAGTCGAATGCTGTTCGGCTCCACTAGTCAATGTCCGCAATCGCCCCAAGGGCGACCGATGCTCCTCAGGAGCGGACCTACTTTCGACGAAATGCACTGATCCGGCTTTCGGAAAACCAGCGAAGCTGTCGCCCTCCTTGGCACTGGACTCATCGTCTGAATTGGCTTTCCATGAATCAGCACCACGCACCGTGGACCATTCAAACCAGCGATGCCTGGGACGGTCGTTTTTTTCGGCTCGGAGGCAGGATTTACCACAGCCATGCTTGAAGAATCCATGAGTGTATCGTGTATCCCGTTGTCCGCCTCAGAGAACCTCTCATCTCCCCCAAATAGGCTTTCACCGTTTTCCCTTCCTCTTCGGACCGGGACCAAGAGACGGAAACCTGTCGAGCCCTCTCGAACATTCGTGTGGTGTCGCAGTGACAGGTGTGATGTGGACTGACCGGTGTTGACGTGACTTTGTCCCGTTCGGATTTCTTGAGCTTGCACCATCTACATGCAACACACACTTTGGCCTTGACATATATATATATATACTGTACACATGTAATGTAAATACATATATATATATATACTTGAATAAACAAGTATATATATATAGTGTTCACTGGTTCGCATTTTTTTGACAGGGGTGCACACTGCGCAGAGTTTGGACAATGACCTAGTGGAACCATTGCAGCTTGAAGTAGGCTATGGACAGCATCAAAACTGATAATTATTTTTCATGTGCCCGGCTTTAGGCACGGGCTGGGATTGCCATGGAGGAAGAAAGCGGCATCGCAGATGCAGACGTTGAGGATCTGGAGGATGCAGGGGAAGATGAACAGGCAGGTGTGCTTTGCAGACTTGCAATGAGGTTAAATCTTTCGTTAGGTTTTGACTTAGCAACCAGTGCTGTGTTTTCTTTTGTGCAGGATGCCGGGAAGGAATATCAGGATGGAGATTTGGAGAAGGCTTTGGAGGAGGTACGTAACACTAGAGACTTTTGCGGTAGTGCAGACTGGTCACTGACTCGCAGGAAGCAGTGGAGGAGGAAGTCCTAGATACAGAAGAGGATGTGCTTGGAGAAGAATTGGCACCTGACGTTCTGGAAGAGACTTTGGCAGAGTTTGGGGACGATGCACTGGAGCAACTGAATGAGATTGAGGGAGAAGTCTTGGCTGAACTGGTGGCGCCAGATGAAGAGGCCAGACAAAGGCACTTGAAAGAATAATTGAACATCTTTTCCTCACCTCAATGGCAGGTCGAGAAGACCGCTTTGGAACTGGATGACGAAGAGGCAGCTGATGACGGTTTGTTGGTTTGGTCCTTGTATGTCACGCTTTTAGAAAAGAGACGTGCACGGGTCGGCGTTGTTTGTCAGGAAGAAATCGTCCTGGAGGAGGAAGTTCAAGAGAACATTGATTTGTTGCCAGAGGAGGTGGGCCGACCCGCACGTTTGCTGTTTCTCATCACACCCGATGTGCCGTACAATTTGAGCGGTGCAACGTGCTCAAGCCACGAACAGCTAAGGAAAAACAAAAGAACAGATTAACAACACGTTATATAATTAACTCTCTCTCTCTATATATATATACTACATTTTGTTGTACTGTCGTTGTTACGAAGGAAGCGGTACTGGAAGAGGAAGCTTCAGAAGAGGCGTTTGACTTTTTGTCGCTTGAGCATCACGGGGCACAGATTTGTTTGCTCGACTTCGCTTGTGAAATCTTCAGGAGGTGGAGGACCCGGGTTGTATGATGAGTTGGCTGAGTTCTATGCCTTAGAGTCATTTGGAAGCTATTTTTTTGGGAGATGCTTTTGCAAGGCTTGCAATGCTTTGAGCGCAGAAATCACGAGACCTCCTGGCTGCGATTCTTTTTTTGCTTCGGCTGCTTCCACCAGTGCATCAACCGAGCGAAGCGGGTTCGCGGAAGGACAATGAAGGAGTACAAGACCACCTGATGGAAGCGGTGGAAGGTGGAAACAAACACGGAAGCAGTCAGAGCGTCTTTCTGCGCGATGAGAAGACTTCGTACGGTGACCCTCCAAACTAGTCATGACTGGTAGACGAGTAATCTCAAGAGGGGAGAGTCACAGGAGTTCGGGAAGACAAGTCATGTGGTCGGAAGTGTAGGGCCTGAGGGTATTGGACATATGTTGACGGGCGGGTGGATGGCTTCTTTAACATCAATCTCTATTCAAAAGAAGCCTTGGCCCTTCAGTTCAGCAGACTGGATTCGAGGATTTATGCAGCGCTTGCCATTCTGCCATCCGAGACGTTTGTGCATGCAGTTGCAAGGTTTTCCCTTGCATCAAGCAGCACAACATGTCAAATGTCACATGCCATATGGCGCCCGTCGTTTTGAACCATTTGCAACCTCCAGGACATGTTTCAATTCAGGTACTCTCTCTCTCTCTCTCGTATCAGCCTTACTTTCAGCCTGATCGATTTGCATCGTCTAAAGACAGGAACTCTACGCCTCAAGCGCCTTCTCTCCCAAGACGAGGAGGCACTGCCCGTGTTGGGTGGCCATTCGGGCCCAACGATTGTTCTGACAGGTCCCAGAAGAGGTGCTTGGGAAGCGGCGGCGGAAGAAGGACGCAGCTATACAGCTTTGGTGTGAAAAGGACGGCGTTGAGGTGATTAATAAAACGACACAACGCGCTTGAAAGTTACAAGATTCCGGCTTTTTGAATAGATTTTTGCCAATCTGGGCCCTAATGGATGGGCATATGCTCTTTGACCGATGCCTTGTTGCAGGAGCCAGCAGCTTCCAACACTGATGAGGTGCTCTGCATGGCATAAAACTGTCACGTTGTTCGTTTTTTTCGTTGAACGGCAAGCCATGAACGAGGCCCGGATCCAGCAGCTCCTCACCAGATGGGGTTTGTTGCAGGAGAAGACTGGGTGAAACCTGAAACAACACCAGGGTTGATTCATCACCCTCCGCAGATTCACAATGTTTCAATACATTTGCAAGGGAATCAGGGACTCTGCAGCAAGAATGAAGCACTCCTGCTGTATGCCGGTGTTCTCGCGTCTTTTGGGGGTCATTAGAAAGGCAGTCGGCCTAGTTCTGTTGGGTGGCCACTCTTGACTCATGACCATGCGGGGGCCAGGGCGTCCAAAAAATGGCCAAGAATAGTGGAGTCTATGAACATGCTCTCTGCGCAGCTCTTAGGTATTATTACCATCAATTACCTCTTGGCTGTGAAATCTGGATCTTCAGTGAACACTCCTGGTCTTTCTATGTCGTTTTGGGCCAAAAGGGGCCCTTCCCAGACGTCCTGGCAGTGAGGACAAAGTCACCAGACATGTGCTGGAGAGTTTCACCATGGACGAGCTCAAGGCAGGCGGCCTTCGACGTCGTTAACCCGCAGACGTCCTTCGCCGAGGGACCGTCGTGTCGGAAGAGCTGAGCGGAAGAGCTGAGCGGAAGTGTGTTTGGTGGAGAGGAAGACGACATGTTTTTTAATCGTTCGACTCGCAACTACTTGATGCTGTCAACATGAAAACCAGAGGCTGAAGGTGAAGGTCTTCCTGAATTAGACAATGACCGCAGCACACCATGGTGAGTCAATTTTCTCAGCACGGTCCGGTTGCTGTGAAAAACATTGAGCTCCCCCGCTGCCTCTATTCAATGATCACCACTTCTCGACGAAACCGTTGTATATTTTTTCAATTTTTTCAGCAATAAGACACTGCCTTCTTTCGGAACCTCCGGCAGCTCCGTTCTCTTTTTTCTCCAACGACTGGTGCATGTCTTGCTTGCCAGTTGTTGGACAACACCTACACTCCGGAGAAGTTCAACATGACCCTTGTCACGCTTCGTCCAAGTCGGACCCGGACCGGACCGCCACTCCGGTCCCGGCGTCGGTAGACGGTTCGTTCGGTTCCGAGGAAGCGCGGTCCTGGCGAGTTGGTCCATTGCCAGGTGGCCGCCATGAAAGAGAGCCGCTCGGTTGGCATCCACCGATGGGAGGTGTTGGTGGTCGCCCGCAGCAACCGCGTCACCTCTGGGCCCCGCCCCGAAGCACGAAGTGGAAGTGACGCGCGTCAGATCGGGCGTCGTGTGGCGCCGCATCCGAGGGGGTGGTCCTGGCGGAGGATCGGTGGACTTGGTGGCGGCTTTCAAGCATCGATTTAAGCTCAGCGCCGAAGAAGAGGTGAGGTGGGGTTCGTGAAATTCGGGAGGGAAAGCTGATCATATGTTAGATATTTTTGTTTGCCCTTCTATAGAGCTTGCTTTTGGAGCTTGTTTGCTCTTTAAGGCCAGGCTTCGCGAGCTGAGTCACAAAAACCTGCGATATGTCATCAAGGAGATGCCGCGGGCAAGAAAACTTGATCTAAATGTTTGGCCATGACTTGTCCTGGAGCTTGATTTGTCCTCCTGCCCATGAGATCGAAACTGCAGGAGTATGATGAAAGCACTCCTCTGGAGGAGACATTTCGACATGCGACGGTGTGTGGCAACTGGCAGCTTTTCACTTCCACATGGTCGCAAAGCAAAGGAACGCATTCGTACATACTCGGAGTATATTATATATATATATATGGATTACACCCCGGGGTTATTCATCACGAGTCTACATGAAACAGGGATGATCTTTTCGACCCTTCGTTGTCTGACCCCAAAAACACCCCGGTGAAATGCCTCTTTGGTTGAGTTTCGGTGTCTCTCCAGTCTTCTCTCCAGTGTTCTCTCCAGTCTTCTCCACTTCGTGCAGGAGGTGATTGAAGAGGCTGAGAGCTTCGAAGTGAACGAAGGCATTACGGAGGGTGCTCTCGCGGGAGAACTGGGACTGCCTGTGATGGCACGGTCTCCTGGCTGCAAGAGACGAGGCAGCGCAAGCCGCAGCTTCAAGTGGTGGGAGCACGGCGGTGGGAAGCAGATGGGCCAAACGAGCATGTGTTTATCCGAGTTTTTGGGGACTCCCCTGAATGGAGGGAGGAGTGAAGTTGCCTACAAGCCATTCCAAGGCTAGAGATATCAAACCATATCAAACCTCCCTACATAAGATATCGCTGGATACTATTGCACATGGTCCCAATTGATTCGCTGGTTGGGCCCAACTGGGACCAACTCTTCAGATGTTGGTGAACCAAAAACGATGACACGGACATGGCAACATGACTCTTTGATGTTGTGGTTACATATTTTGTCTCAGTTCACGTGCAGGTGCAGTCCTTGTTTCCCCAGCATCTCACCTTTGCGCCACGGTGAACTGGCGAAGGAAGACTTGTTTCTTCACGCAATGCGGTTGATCAACAACTTCTCCTGCACCAGCAGCGAGGGGTCATCAGCGACCCTCTCATACAGGTTAGATCTTCAGGGTGATTAATTGCAAGTGTTTGGGTCATTTGGAGGAGCCAGCCTTGGGAAACCAAAGATAAAAGTTCTTCACACCCCACGTACCACTTGAGAAGCTGCAGTGCTGGGGCTTTGCTCCTTTTCGGAAGTGCGTGAGGTTCAACCGCCTTGAGCTCATCGACCCCATGGCAGTGGCAGCCATCTTTGGTGATGCCAATCTGAGCTTCGTGCCTGGGATATTCTTTGATCTTTGGGACATGGGTCAAAAGCCGGCCGTTTTGCTTCGGGTGATTTCGATCTTCTTTCGTTTTCCTTTTGTGGTGAATCCCCCTTGTGGTGAGAAAAACATGGTATCTTTGCCCAGTTCCTCAAGCAAATCGAAGGAAAAGCCGTGAAAGAATAACTGCCCTTTTGGTTGACTTGGACCGCTGAATCGGTTCCAACCAAAAGAGAAGATGGAACCAGGTGCGAACCACACAAACCAGGGGAAAAAAGACCTTGGATTTCAAACAGCAGATGGTACTGTGGGTCAGAATGGGTCAGAAAAAGGTAGCAAACAGCTGGAGCAACAACCCCGCAAAGACCCTAAGAATGAATCACATCAAGCTAAGTGAAAAAATGAGAACCAGATGGTCGTGACTCACCAGATGGTCGGCCATCCGCAGAACACAACGGGTTCAGGACACTTTCCTTGAGAGGTTGAGCGGGTCTCAGGTCATGCACCAAGAAGCTGGAAAAGTGGGTCGGGCACATCTTTGAACTTGGACGGAAAGGGAACCCAATTTTTTCCCCAGAGCTGTGAAAATCAGAGTGACATCGTTCCCATCACTCCACCACTGATGGCCGCAACAGCAACTGGATCCAAGATGTTGATGTCCCATTTTCATACCCACCGGACCGGTACCCTAAACACCCACACGGATCAATACAACCATGTTGAAGCACGTCCCATAGGGTCCCATAGGTCGCATGTTTTCCAGACGTTGACAGTCAAACGACCAGAGCTGAAACCTGGTGGTTTCACCGGAGGCGCTGAAGCTCGCCAAGCACCGGGAGGCGCAACCCGGTTTCACCGGGCCCGAGGACGCCCCCACGAGGTCTCTGGACACCAGGTCTTTCCGGAGGTGTATGTTTTTCTTTCTTGAAGTCGAAAAAGGAGGGATTTGACTCGTGATTCTACTTGACCGGAACCGACCGCCACGCGCTCGCGCCGGACTTTGACCCACCTCGCCGTCCTCCGTCCTCGTCTCTCCGTCCTCGGTCTCAGACACACAGCCCTTCGAACGATCTCGGAGGCGCTCGGTCATGTGGGCCGTATCATTGCCACAACCTTCGAGACTCTGGATTGCCTTCGAGAACGCTACAAGGAGGGGCAGGGGCTGGCGGGGGGCCCCTCCGGGGCCCCTCGATCTGGGCCTATCGGCGGAGGAGGGCTTCCGAAGCCTCCTTCGTGGGCCAGCCTGGGCTTCTCTCGGACCTTTGGGCGTGGCCGGATTTCGTGGCGATGAGGCCATTGGGTTGGAGAAAGACCCAAGGCGATCACTGCAGCTTTTGTTTTGTCCCAGGGCAAAAGTTGTGCCACCTCTCGCGTACAGTTTCCACACTCAAGAGGTAGAAGAGACACTAGAGAAAAGTGCCACAGGAGACTGGTGCTGATGGACTTTTCGGGTTCACTCACCTGCACGAATGAGATTCCTCACATGAATTTAGAAGAACCCTCGATGGATGGAGAGTTCTTCTCTCGTGGCACCAGTGAGAAGAGACGACGGTTGGCAAGGAGATTGATGAGACCATCAAGACCTTGGAAGGTCTCTACACCGAGGCAGCGGACCCAAGCGGAACCTGAGCAGTGCGGGTGAGCAGGCAGTCTGTGTTCATTCCTTGGTGTTCCTTCACCGTCCAGCAAGCCAGGTGGCTTGCTGGAAGATGACCCTGTTGAGTAAGAGGTCCATCACTTCCATTTGGGTTTGTCAAGGTCCTCAGATGGAGGCGAAGGACTTCCAACACATGTTCAGTTCGGGATTTACCAATTTGAATTTACCTTGCTTTCTATTCCCTGCATATCAAGAAAAGGTACGGCCTTCAACAAGAATCCTTTCAATGATGCCAACTGGCCCACAGAACGCCCACAGAAGGCCCGAACGTCGGGTCACCGTGTCGATCACCCCAGGTGTACCATGGTGTCGATTGTACACGAATTGCGGTTGACAGCCGCTTTCAAGGAATGGAGGTCCGCGGCCGGAGAATTCTTGACCGATTTGAACAAGCACGCAACATGCGGATTGTTTTCCGGCCGATGGAGCAAATTGGTTTTGGAAACGGAGTGTTTGTGTCCGAAGTGAAGCTGTGAAGATGGACTGGGAATGTTTTGAAAGCAGCTCTTTTTTCCGAAGCCATAGAAAGCTGATGTTGTTTCATTTGTGCTGTGCCGCTGTGCAGGGCCGCCTCGGGGCGGTTTACTACAACTTCCCACATGCCGGCGTCGTCACAGGCTTCTTTGATGGCCGGCCTGGCACACTTTTCGCTCGCCACGACTTTCGTAAGAGCATTGGAAGCAGGCCAGTTGTGTACTGAACTCCAGATTGCAGCTGAACATGTGGGCTTATCTCAAAAAGGGGGGAAGCCCCAAACCACGAAGCTTGGCATCGAGCCGCGTGGCGAGTCGGTCTTCAACACCCGCGGGAAGCCCCGCGGGTGAACCGCTTCATACGCGTTGTTTTGCGCTTCTTTTTTTTCGCGTCTTCCACGTCGTGGCAGGGCACCCCTGTGTGAATTGGCGCCATGAGAACCTCATGCGGCTCTTCTTCCGCGCCTTGCGCTCCTTCATGAAGCCTGGAGGACTCGTGAAGGCCGGAGACGAGACGAGACGTCGTCGGTGGTCGAAGCGAACGAAGCGCGCAAAACGCTGGCGAAGGTGGCCTCCAGCAAGACGGCTGTGGGAGTGAGGATCTGAGGGCTCGAAGGTAGCCAGGTGCAACCTTGAGAGCCTGAACTGAAACTGAAAAGAATTGAAACAGAAAGGATGCCTTGGCACACTTTGTGTGCCTGGTGTCCATTGTGAAACACCGAACCCAGGTCCGATTCTTCTACATCATGGAGGCCGCCGCCGAAAACGAGTTTGTTCACATCGAGACGCGTCCTGGCGGCAGTTTCGGCGGCGCTTGGGCGTTGGCCGCGCTGGTTGGCGGATCTCGTTGGCTCGCGCGCGTTGGTTGAGGATGCCCTTCATGGAATGGCATCTTCATAGATATGGACGATCCTATGGCGACAAGCGTGATGTGTGCCTTTGAATCAAGGAATCAAGGAGAAGGAGAGAGTGCGATCAATGTGAATAAGGTCTGCAGACCATCATGAGAGACTGCATGATCGGACCATACACGGCTGTTGTGTTGCAATGATTGGAAGCATGTGCCTTTGACAATCGCAAGACATTGATTGAAGCCAAAGACCTAGGCATCGGCGGCCGGAGGCCGGTGAGAACTACAATGTGCAGCGAAAAGATGCTGACATGGTTGCGAAGCTGCAGGGAGGTGAGTTTGCATCGGAGAGGAAAACTCGCCTTGCCACTCAGGTCTACACGTTCAAATACGTATCTTGTTTGCACCATCATGCATGGCATGGCTTGCTCGGTGGACGATGGACATGGTGTCCTCCGACCCAGGTACCTAGTGGAGCAGCGCTTGGGTCTCAGAAAGCTTTGCAGTGGTTTGGTGGGTCAAAGGCGTCCTCTAGATTTTGCATGCAGAATGGCCTGGGTGAGGACTTATATAAGGGACCTAGGACCTATAGGTGACCTGGGACTCCAGGATGGTAGCGAAGTTACTGCTGCCCACTTGGGTTTTTGTTACCGTCAGAATCCAGATTCAGATGTTGCTCTTGATTTCTGTGGTCGAAGTTTTAAGCTGGGAACTTCTGCCACTGGAGGCTCCCACCACAGAGCATCCGGATGCCACCGAAGTTCAACGTGCTGAAAGCATGTCCTGATGGTCCTTTCAGGCAGGGGATGAAATACGTTGATCGTCGGAAACTCGATCGCTTCACTGGGCACTGGACACGTGTTTCGGACACCTCTTCCTGGGATCGCTTGGTTTTCTGGCATTCTGGTGCTCTCCACTCCTCCACGACTGGACCGTTGCTGGACCTGCGACTGTGGACCTGGACCTGAGGATGCTGATCGGCGAGGCCCGACAACGGCATGCCATGGCGTTCCTTGGACCTGGTGCCGATGCTTCTCACGCCAGCACCACCGGTGCCGAACGGGTGCGAAGGACGACGAGTGCGGTGGACACCGGGTGCACCGGAGGGAAACCGGTGCGGACACCAACCCGGTGCTCTGACCCATTGGGTGGGAACACCCCTTTGGCAGTTCGGGGCGCTTTGGCGTTTGGGGTGAGTTCGGGATGTTCGGGTTGGAGATGACCGGACCGAAGAATCCATGGCCTTGGTACCAACCCCGGTCCGGTTGACTGGTCCCAGTCACTGGGATTCTCATGTTCTCATGTTCAGATCCTCCTACCTCGGGGGGGTCGAAGAATCCAGACCTCGTCTTCACTTGCGCTCCGCACCACGGACACGTCTTGCGCCGTCTGAGCCGCGCCGTCTGCGTCAGATGACCTCTGAGGCTTTACAAGCGATTCGTGACGGAGTGTTCCGGCACGCATGTGGGCTGAGCAGTAGGCGTTTTCGCTCCCAATGCGCCGAGCGAACGCTTAGAAAAAGGAGAGTATCCAGTGCCATTGTGTTTACTTCTTTCATCAGTGTTTTGCTCATGCACTTTGCTGTTTGACGTCCACAATCCCCGCCAAATCTAGGGGATTTGACATTTGGATGCCAAACAACGTTTGTTTGCACTCCCAGCGTTTTGGCTCTTCTGCTGCTCGTCCTTGTCACGTTTAGGCAAGGACCGCAAGAAGTCTGTTTCCTTTGTGAGATGTATGCATTGCTTGCAAAGCCTTCGCAGTCTGCCGGAAAAAATGACCAAAACCACTGCCATTGGCTTTTTCACCAAGTTCGTTGGCTCGAGCTTTCGGTGCTGAGGGAAATTCCGCTCGTGAGCGAGATCCGAAAGTTTTCCACGTGGCCATGGGTCTCTTCCCCAAGTGGCCAACACCTGGGTGTTCCTCTCCCTCTGTGTGAACTCCAATTGGAGTCGGAAGGTGAACAAGTTGGAAGAAATGGCACGCCGAAGCAGCTCCATCCTGGTGGTGGCCCTTTTGGCCCTGGCCGCTCGACCAAGCGGAGGTCCGAACCCTCGTCGGCCGGTTCGCTTCCCTCTAAAGGTGGAGTCTGCCGGTTCGCTACGGAGGCTCCCGAAGAGCAGAGCTACGGAGTCTGCCTTTTTACGGTGTTCAAGATCCGAACCCCTCGAACTCACAAGCGACTTCATGTGCTTCATGCAACCACGCTTGGGTATTTTGGAGCCATACTGTAGTCTCCAGTGTCCTGGCGAAGTGAAGAGCAATGTTGCTGGGGGAATCGAAAGAAGCTTGAAACGATCGCCTGAGTTGGAACAGTCTCAATCCTCTCTTAGAGCCCTCTGAATTCTCGTGGATACACTGCGCTTGAAGTAAGTGCACTGTATCCATCTCCATGAGAATTCGGCTCCCTTTCCCCTTCTCCAGGTCACCCACATTTTCTCAGTTTGCTCAATCTGCTCTTCTTTGTTTTGACTGAGCCTTCTGAGGCCTTCTGTGGCTTCGCCTTCGTGGCACCCAGCACCGGTGCTGCCCCTGAACCACAGCTGCGCGGCAAGCAGGCCGAAGCGGCCATGCTCGGTGCCGCAGTGGCCGTCGGGCGCCTCAGGTCAGGGATGAAGCGAATGATTTCGATCCAGTTGGGGATTTGGTTTCATCAAACACAGTGAAACACCCGCTTTGAGAGGCGAAAGCTCCTACTAGGGCACCTCAATCTGAAACATCTGATTTTGTTTGGGTGGGAAATGGCGATGGCGAAAGCTGCGATTCTGGGGTGAAGTCTGCAACTGTCAAATCGGCGAAAACAGCTCCAAGGAAGAAGCCCTTCGGCAGCGTTTTTTTGACCTCCGCTTTTTGAGGCCCTCCCTCAAGTAGCTCTGGCGGGCAACTCTGGCTATGCTCTGCTGCAGCTGGGCTGGGTGTGGATGCCCAGTTTCAGGATGGTTGGACACCTGACCGAAGAGTTGGCAGCCATGACTTGTACTCATGCTACAATTTCCAAGCTCGTGCTTACTGAAACGAATGAACAGCTACCACTCCTGAATCCGCAAAGGCCATCTTCATCATCAGCCTTGGACCAGCGGTTTTGTTCTGGATCTACTTCAACAAGCAACTGAGCGGCAGAAGGATTTGGATGGGTGAAATCAAGGATTAGACTGGATTAGACTAGCATACCTGGATTCTATCCTCAAGAATTCGGCATGTGATGGGCATATGTACTTCATGCTATATACTTATGTGGTTTTCGGTTGGTCATGTACAGTATATAATCTATTGCAGAAGAGACACATCCTGGGAACCATTTGTTTAGAAGCGTCTGTGGGACCAAGGCCCGAGCTCCTCTGAGTATGGAGCAACTTGGCACGCGGTACCATTATCTACAGACAGCTTTTATATCTATTTTTATTAAAACTCCCTGACATGGAAGTTTTCATCCAAGGGAACATTTTCCACTTCCATGTTAGTTCTAGGGAGTGTATATTTACTTTCATGAACCTGGCATGTATCTATACCGTCTATACCTGGGCTGTGTTCACACTTTGCCATGTTTGGGATGCAGATCTCTGGACGTGTTGCACCTAAGGCCATTCCCCCACGCCAGGACTTTTTTTCGCCCGAGGCCCCAGCTGGTCAGTCGGGTCGCACGAGCCGCGCAATGGCCGGGTCCCGCCACCGCTTCTGAGGTTTGGCTGCGCCCGAAGCTTCTGGCGAAGCCATGCAGACAGAAATCATGCCAAGACAAAACGCGACAGCATGGGCGTGTGGACTTATCTGCCTGCTGTGCTGTGTTTTTTTTTTTAAACGCCATCCTGCATTGCACCTGATTGGACTATTACATACTGTTACCCTATGTCATGACTATGTCTCACTGTCAGCTTCTGTACATCCCAGGTGAGTTCGGTGCATCTGAGCAGAGAAGCAACAGTGTTTCCTGACCTTTGCAGTTGCAAACCTCGACGATGTATGCCTCCATTTCCTTTCCAGTCGGCGTGTCCCTGCATGTGTGAGTGATGGACAGCTCAAGCGTATAGAATAGGTTCATTGTGGCAACTCAGCTCAGAATCCAAGTTGCGCACCCCAAATAGATAGATTGGACAATAGATCCATCTAGAACGAGATGCCTGAATGGGGGACAGAGCTGATACTCATGCTCAAACTGTTGGAAGAGAGGCACGTAAGACACCAACAATGACCAGTGCTTGCTTCGATCTCTGACTTCGGGACCTACCTGCAACCAGCTTTTGGGCTGAGTGCATGGCGAGAAGACGTTCCGGGCATGAGCTTGCTGGATTGGCGTGGTCTATGGCATCTAAAGTGCAGAGAGAGGCTGGATTCCTGGATGGCTTCTCATTTGAGCAGCTTGTTGATCTACAGAATCGAAGGGGTCTATATATTCACTTGTATAGGGGAGCAACTAGATTCGACCACGGTTGAAATGCCATACAGATAGAATCTTTGGACTCATCTAGGTATGAGACCAACTGCAATACACTTTTTCTCAGATCCCACTCACGTTGTGTGGCTCCATGTTCTGGTTGCCATGCTCAATCAGCTGCAAGGAGAACGTTTCTTTTCTGTCTTGGCCAGGAACAGCTTCAATTTCTGGCTGCTGAAGTGAAGATGCAGGTTGCGACGCTGACGCCGCCGCAATTGGCCATCATCGCTTGATCATTTGGACGTCTAGCAAGACATGATCATCAAACTGATCGAAATGTCCAAGAAGTGGTCTGCGGCTCAGAGACCATCGAGGGGTACGGTTCAGGAGCTCTTGTTTTTTGGGGAGAGTTCTTTTCCAAGCTGATCCGTTTCTTTCGATCTCAATTGGTGACCTGTGAAATCGGTTGTTGGTAGTGGAATCGATCTGTGGGAACCAAAAAGGGTGGGAACAATATCTCTACTGATTAAATACCAGCCCCATCCCTAAAAAATATCGTGGGATATCGTGGACATCTTGAATTTCACGGCTCTTGATGCCCGGCCGAAGCCCGAATTTGACCGTCCTGCAGGTCGAAGCGGCGAGTCAAGTGGCTGTGACGAAGATCGAGATGTGCAGTGCGCGACCTTCGGCGACGTCTGTGCCGCGCATACGACACCCGGGGCCGACCTCGCTTCGACCGGGGGGGAGCCTTCGGTCCACACGAGGTCCCTTGGGAAAGACGGAACTTTTGAGAAAAAGGGGTGAGATGGCTATGGCTATAACCCCCTTTTCCCATACCTCCTAAAGAAAAAGCAAAAGGAATCACCTAAAGGAGAGATCAGATGGAAGATGTGGGTAGTTGGACATTCCATTCATAGCAAGTTGGTGAAAAGTGGCTCTCATGTGAAAGCTGCGCGAATCTGGGATTTGCCAATTTGCCATGCTGGGTCCAAGGAGACATGGCCAACATTTTGTGGGCATGCACCAGGCAGGTGCAGCGAAGCTTGTGTTTCCTTGCGGTTACTTTTTGTTTTTGTTCCTGCTGTGTAGGCTGGCCTGCAACAAGATAGAGCTGCAGGCCCCAACTCAATGACCGAGAATTTCCTGATTCAGGTGTTTTTTTCCGTTCAGGTGTTTTTTCTTAAAGACCACCAGCTATTTTCCCAGCCAAAGCAAAAGAGAAACACAGATCCTTCAATTCGACCCACTAATTCCGCGACCCAACACCTGGCCAGTTGCCTGGGCTTAGTGGGGGGAAATGGCCTTTTGGGGCGCCAGGAAGCCATTGGTCACCAAGTCTTCTCACGCGCTGATGAGTTTGGTTCATAGGTGCGACGGCCCTTGTTGTGCTGAGACAGTTGACAGCGCGCAGCAGATGGTTGTTTTGCAGTGCAGCGAGCCCGACTGCTTGACTGCTCAGCTTGTTGGACTGCCGGCTAGACATTGGCTCAATGAATGTGGAAGCTCGGGAGCAACACTGAGCTCATCTGAGTTGGGGAGGATTACATACTGGTAGATTGGACAAGTAGCAAGTGAGGGGTTTGAAAAGGGGGATGCTGAAGATCCTTGAGATCAACCAGTCCCACTCCAAACCAAAGCAAAAAAGGATAGTCAGATGGTCGACTCCTCCACATAGGCCAGCTCCGGCAACGAGTCTAATTCGTGGGGTGACGAATTCTGTGGGCCCACGAACAGCTGACCATGCTTTGGCACACCTGGAGATGAAGCGGAAGGCCTCGTCTTCGAGGCCAGAGCAAGAGGAGTGGGATGGATCTTGATTTCAACTCGGAGAGTGTTAAACTGCCACATTGAAAGGGGGTTGATGTAGGTCTTGAATCTTTCTAAAGTAGGGTACTGTACCCTTCGTTTTCGATGAGCCTGGATTTTCACCCCTGAGACAACTTGCGCGGGTGCGATCCACCGAATTCCACCTGTCAGTCCATTCCGCAGGATGAGGAGGAGCCTGGCAATGATGCGTCTCCCAAGAAGCGCAAGACCGAGGCCAAGACACACTCCAGGGCATCCCAGGGGGGAATGTGGCCGGAAAAACAGGTGTTTGGTTGGATGCAGTGTCCTCTTCCGAAAGACAGAGTATGGATGTTTGGACGTATGGAAGAGCTGTAAGGTAGAACGTTGATGAACAGAAGCGCCATTTGGCTTGTAACACCTTTTTGTGTGGGCGGTTTTAGTAATCAAGGGGTCTACATTAGGAAGTAACCACGACGTACGTGATCATGTTTCTTGCCAGATGTCTTTTGCACCTGGTGCACCATATGTGTTTGCGTCATGTCTTCGTTGCCCGTCTCCCGCAGCCAGGACTCCATCCATTTACGAAAGCTTCAGTTGAGTGGCTTGGGGTTCGGGAGACTCAGGTGTTGACTTCATGTTCTGTAACCCTTGGCAGGTCGAAAGTGTTTTTGAGGCCGAAAACCACCAAAGAGGAGCTCCAAGCTTGGGTCGAGGAGCCAATGCCTGTTTGTTGGGATTGCTGTTTCTAGAGGAGATACCCCGGTCGTGAACCACCAATAGGTGTATGGTACTGGCATCAAGGCTTGTATGATTTCTGTTTGGTCGGACGAATGGATGCGCCAAGAGAGCTCCCTGAGCTTGACAGGAGCAGTTGCCAGGTGGATGCGGCATCGAGGTAAGGAACCAGCAACGATTTGAGCCGGACAACTCTTGGTGTTTTTGAGCACCAGTTCTGGGAAGATGGAAGAAGGGTACCTTTTACAGGCCATAAATACATAATTCTACACATGTCTTCACATTTTTGAAGCCAAGAGAAATCCCAAACGCTTTGCCGCCAAGCCACCGAACTGGTCCGACCCCGTCCCGTCCGCCCAGTCTGTGCGGCGTCTCATTGACAAGCCCGGTCACTTCCTGATCTCTTTCCGGAAGGACAGTTCCGCAGGCGGTGTCGGAGTCGCTGGAGTGACATTCATATTTCACCTCCGTGTTTTTGTTGGAGGTGGACCCACCCGCCAGATTTGGAGGCCACATCGTTGGTGGATGGTGATACTCCTACCAACTCCTACCCAATTTGGCTTGGCAAGCCAATTCTAGCCCATCACAATCCCATGAGCCGGGACACAGAATGCCTGAGACACAGAATGCCTTGATTTCCCAACAGAGGTTAAGCAACCTTATAAGACCCTACTGGGATACCTATGGGATAGCCTATAGGGTTCTTCAACCTCTGTTGGTCTTTGGATGTTTTCCACCGCTGCCATGCTCCGAGCGCTCCTCATCATGTAGGACCAGAATGCCAAACGAGCGCCAGAGCCCTCAGCGCTTTGCCTGTCCATTCATTGTGTCATCCTGGAAATAGGGGCTGCACTGAGGCTGAAAAGTCTTCATGGAGCAGATATGAATGGCCAGACTCTTACTTTCACTTACTTCTCTTTCGTCCAATGTGGTCTTAGTGGTCCAACGTGACTTCTGAGAATTTTACTGTCCAACTTGGCAGTGCTCAGTCGCACACTCCGAGTGCAGGACACACAGTGTCTGCCACTTTGAGAGCGTTGGAGCTGAGCCGGCAGAGCAGCAAGGCGAGCCACTGCCCTGAGGGCTGCGTCTTTTGAACCCATGCCCTTACACCAATCAGAGCATGCCCTTACTGCAATACTAACAACAGTACTAGCAACTCACCTGTTGATTTGGGAAAGAACATGTTCTTTGTGGTGGTTGCCATTCTCTCCCTCTCTCTCTATATCCTTTTGTTTGGAGACGAAACCAATGTCACTGCAGAGGCCGGAAGGCTGATCGTGCGGAATTTGTCCTTCAACGCTCAAGAGAGCCTTGGATGCAGCGCAGCTCTGTCCAGCTCTTTTTCGATTGTGAACGGGTTGCAGTTCTTTGGTTCGTCTTTGCATAATTGGCCCAGGGCAAAATGGACCCCCCTTGGGCTTCTTCTCTGGAACAAGGACCCCTTCCTCTGTGTTTGATTCCTTCGAACCCCTGGGCATTCCCTCGAACCCATTGGGCTAAGGAAGCATTTGCGAAAGGCCGGGGTCCGGTTCCGTTCACCGCCACGTTATTCGGCGCAGCCGACGACCCGACCGGCGGGGACCGGGGACAAGCGCGCCAGACGGCGGGCGGGAGCCTGCGCCGAGTGGGCCGAGTGGGTGAGGCCTTTGGAGGCATCGGCGAGGTGGTGGACTTGCACTTGCCAATGAAGGAGATGACTTGGCCGGTTTGGCGTGGGGGGTTTGGGGAAGCCGACTGACTTGGCCGAAGGGATCAGGAAAGATCAGCACCCAGAGGGTGCGAATTCACCCTTTGATGGGTTAATGGATGTTACAATGGTTCGCTTTCTCACTTGGTGTGCGAATTGGGTCCATCCACAACCCTCAGTTCCGTAGGCCGTGCCCGGCCCTGCCCGGCCCATTCCTTTCGGACTGGTGGACTCGTGTGCTCGGCAAATTCAGACGTTCAGAGTCGTCGAGTCCAAAACTACTAGCTTCTTGTTCCTACTAGTAAGGCACTTGTTACTACTAGCGTGGCACTTGTTACTACTAGCTTCTTGTTCCTAAAGAATCGGCGCTTCGTTTGCCTCAGAATCCCCAGCGTACAACACCGACCTTGATCCTGTTGAGCGCTTGCTCAGCATGAAGCAGCATGATGCAGCTTGCTCCGGTCGTTTCGGCTCGGGAAGCTGATGTGATTGTCTCTTCACAAGGCGTTAGCTGAAGATTTTGGATCTTCGAAGCTGTTTGTCAAGAACCAAACCAACCCCAGATGGGCCCTGGCAAGGCACAGATGAGCAGCACAGCAGAGGGCACATCGACAGAGAGGGTTTTTGGGGCCACAGAACTTCCGTCTCGGAGCCCATGGAACGAGCTTGACTTGAAAAGGAGCCACGGGATGCCTTTTCAAACGTGTCGAGGCGGTGGTGCCTTTGACCAAGACGTAGATGGGGCATACCTGTCGTTGATGCTCATGGCACATGGCGCAGTGCTTTTCAAAACCGGCTCAAATCTCCGACTCATTGGTCATCTTTTTGTGGACTTGCGCAACCGCAGTACTTTCAGGAATGTCGAAAGACCAGTAACCAGCTACCCTCTTTCCACGTGTTTTTTTGAACTGGCACCGCTCCCCAGCCCCCCAAGGTGACTTCGTGGCCGAGACCTATGCGGCCGTGTCGGGCGGCGCGGCCTTTGCCGAGGCCGAGGACCTCCTGGGCGCCGAGTGCTTCGCTGCCCGGGGCAGAATTGGCGCATAGATGGGTTGCGACGTGGGGAGAAATGGAGAAATTCGAAGAAGCGGACGACCTCGTCCGGAGAGAGGGAGGAAGACCCCAAGAAACCCTCAGAAGGAAAAGAAAGGGGAGTCTCTTCAGTCTCTTCTTCCCTTTTCATGAGCGTCCCCCACATTGCCTGGTGATCTCCCACCTTACCTGGTGCTGACCCCCCAAAACCCGAGCCGCCCAGGCGGGCGCCACGCGCGTCAGCGCGCGCCGTCGATCTGAGGCTGAAGCGGTTGAGAAGGGCCATGAAGCATTAGGAGCTTTGAAAGCCAGTGGCAACAAGACGGCCGTGGCTGACGCGACGCGTTTGGCCCGGAGCCTCAAAGGTTCCGACTCCAGCGGGTTCCGCCGTCCCGAGACCTCACACGTACAGCCTACACTGCGTGGGCCAGCATACACTGCGTGTGTGGGCGATTCTTTTGGAGATTGCATTCACTGAGAGCTGTGGGATATCGTAAAATGCATGGAGAATTGACACCTGCACACTCGACCGAGCGGCTTCCGAGGTGGTGAAGGGACTGGTAGGTCAAGAACAACATGCTCGAGCTCAAGAGCTGGTGAAGGAGGAGTTGGCCCGCTTCCGCGAGGCGGGGTTCAGGGATCGAATTGGGTCACGTTTCGCCTTTTGCCCTGTTTTTTCGTGAAGTGATCTTGTTAAAAAGGGGAAGTCTTCTCAAAAACTTGCAGGTTCCAGAAGAGTTCCGCTTTCCCCTCCCAGACCACATCCGTCCAAAACTACCCCATGCCCGCAGCCTCACCGCTTTGCCCGCGCGAGGCGGGAGACCGTCTGGGGGAGGCGAAGATGTTGATGTCGATGGGCGAGTCCACGGCGGCCAAGGAAGGCAAAGCCAAGGCGTGGGGTGTCTCCGCGGCGTCGCGGCGCCGAAGCGGCGTTTGCATGTGTCGCGTAATGTGTCACGTGTGCGTGGAGGTGGCTGGAGGTGAAGTCAGGGCAGATTCTGTACAACGTAGACTCTGAGAATTCCTCTGAATTCCGACACCCAGGCATGGAGTGTTGTACGTAACATGTTGTAACTTATAACCAGGTTGAAATCGAATCAAGCGTCGACCGTCCTACGTGTCGTCGCGCGAAGAGACGTGGTGTCTGCTGGGAGTCCTCTATTGGTGCGCCGCTCAGGTGGTCCCGTTGGAGGTGCTGGTGGTCCCCCACGTGGTTCCCACGTGGGTTGGGAGAACACGGACGGGACCAAAACCATCTTCTCTTCTAGGATCCAAAACGATCAAAATGCTGGCATGTTCACAATGATTAACGATGATTCACACACACACACATACACATGAGTACTTTTTGATACTTTTGGCACCTAGTAGTATTGGTCTCCAATCATGGAGCTTTTCAAGGGTTTTTTGATGATTCCCGAAAATCAGTGGTTTTGGATGTCTGGTGAGCTGACTGAAGCAACATCTGCTGCGGTCAGGCGGAAGCCGTGAGCTCTCTCAAAGAAGCGCGGTCGATCTGCAGGAACTTGAACAACAAGGAATGGGAGGTGTCTCGCCAGAAAATGGGGCAAGACACGAAGCACAACTTGGTAGGGCTTCAGGCAAGCAGCTCTCCTGAGTGACTATGACTTCAAAACAGGTTTCCTGAGGGGCTCTGGCTTAGAAGAGAGCTTCCAAACCTGCAGACCCTTGCGCCGTGACCACACGTCTTGCGTGGGCGGCGATGGTTACAGGATGAAGAGACTCGAAGGTTTCTACATCCCAAAACGGCTCGATGGAGCAACAGTCATTGACATGTGGGGGTGAAGGTGACACCCTTTTGCACACATAGTGCATGTGCTTTGGAAATTGATGTTGGCAAGGCGAAAGCTTTGCTCACCTTGGCCTTGCTGAACCTCGCCAAAGTTGACGACCTTGGAGCAGTCGAAACAGCCCTGAAGAACGCCACAGAAGCGCCACTCGGAGAGCGTTGTTTGGAGACTAGTGGTTTGGTCTGAACATGTGGATCGCCCTACACACTGCATTTGAGCCACAGGGTGTTCTCAGTTTCGAAGTGCTCCTGATGCAAATGAGTGCCGTGGTTTAATAGGGCACGTCACCATGAGCATTGGCAAGTTTGACATAAAGTCAGGAGCATTGTTTTGGATGCTGCTATGTCTTCACGCAGGGTCGAGGCTCACGTTTGGTATCCTTTACATAAATTTGCCAAGTCTCGAGAATCTCAGGAGAGACATTTGCCAAGACTTTGACAACAAGCGAATAGAGGCGCGGAGAAGAAGATTGATCAGATAAATTTAGAACTCCTTGCTGCCCCCCAAAAAGTACCATAGCTATGGCTATGGTTTGAATCTATTTGAGGTTCGACTGGATTTGAACCACTCTTGAGGAATCTCAGGTTTCACTCCCAGCGGGAGAAGCCTCGTCGGCTTTGAAAGCAGACCTGGTCAGCTTTGATAGAGGTCAATTTGGATTTGGGTTCTTGATCCCTTCTCTTCCAGGGTCGGCCATGCCGCAAACGTCGTTGGGGGCCTACCATCGCGGAACTGATCCCCCCAAATCCAATCCAGGTGAGTGCTTTTGACCAAGCGTCCAAGCGTCGAAGCCTTCGACGTGCCGTTTTAGTGAGCCATAGCCTTCGTCGCATCGACAGACCTTCCACCCGACTCCTTCCTTTCTTCCGCCATCACGCCATCCCGGGCCATCCCGTTTGCTTCGATCGCACGCGCGGCGCGTGGAACGACCACCGGTCGCGCCGTCGGCCGAGGCGGAGTGCCTCTGGGCCATGGCGGAGGCGCGCGGCTTGGTCTCCTCCCCCGACGATGCGCTGGACGCCGCGGACGAGGCAATGGACCTCTTCCTGGAACTCCGGGTGACGCGGTAGAAGAAGACTCGGAAATGAACATTCCCAAAAGTACCATTGAATTCATCCTTCATGGAAGATACAGCAATAGCTGCCATAAAACCTGTGCGGAATTAACCCCCTATTGGTTATATTCAAGTCAAGGTGCTTGTCAGAATTGAGTTGGACGTGTCCCTGACAAAGCGATGTGATTTGTGATTGAAAAGAGCTCGACTTGTCGACCAAGTCAACTCACCTGAACAGTCAAGCTCCTTTATTCACAGCTGAGTGTAAAGTCTTTGTGAAGGTGCCATATTGTTCGGCATTCACATGGCTTACTGTACAATCCTCCCTGTCCCTTTGCAAGCACCCTGACCCAGTATTGCTTCAACAAGTGTATTTTGAAGTCATGGAATCAGATGGACTAAGAGCCTCATTTTGCAAGATCGTGTAATTTCTTTGCAACACGCTTCTCCAACACTCCAAGTACAATCCTAGGATTCAAGAGCAATCAGGGCACTGCAGGAGAACTGAACCCACTGAACCCAGTCAAGCCTTCAAGATGCGTGAATCGGAAAGCCCGACATTCCATGATGTTCCTTATTTGGTCCCTTTTTTGAGTTCAATCCAAATTCCGGTGCTTTGGCTTTTTCGTCTCTGCTGAGGATAAGCGTATGGAGGCTTTGGCGCTGCTGCAGCTTGGCTTCAGGCATCCAATCAAAAGATCGTGGGTAGAGAGGTGCCTGGTGGTTTCGAGCCCCAACAAAGCCGTGGTAACTCGTAGCAGAAAAGGGAGACAACTGATTGGGAATTGGTGAGTTGCTGGTTCTGGGGATCAGAGTATATAGAAAGTATTTCCCCAAACAGTTTACTGTTGGGGGTTCTCAATGCTTTAAAGAATGGTCGCCTTGGTGCTGGATGGTCTGGTCGGGTTCCCGGCCGGCTTGTCTCCCGCTTCCTTTCATTTGTCTCCCAGTTCTTTTCATTTGTCTCCCAAGATCGGTGCTTGTGGTCGGGTTCGCGGCTGGCTTGTCTCCCACTTCCTTTCATTTGTCTCCCACTTCTTTTCATTTGTCTCCCAGGCTGGGTGCTTGTGGTCGGGTTCTCCCACTTCCTTTCATTTGTCTCCCACTTCTTTTCATTTGTCTCCCAGTTCTTTTCATTTGTCTCCCAGTTCTTTTCATTTGTCTCCCAGGCTGGGTGCTTGTGGTCGGGTTCCCG